AATGCATTTGCTGCGTTTCGCTGTGTTTTCAGCTGTCTTTGTGTCACTTGGCAAGGCGTTTGCACCTGCAGCACAGAGCTGTGAGTGGCCTGCCTCAGCTCGGGTTGCAGAGTTCATAGTGAGGGCATTGTGGTTAGCTGGTGCTGGCCCGCTTCTCACTGTTGCAGATGGCATTGCTGGTTAACGTGTGGCGGCCTTGGCTCCAGTCCAGAGTAAGAGCAATGTGGCACCTTGCCTCTCAGCACCTCTCCACCCCACCCCCACCCTAAAAGGATGTCCTGAAGTTCTTTGCAATGCAAAAAGCAAGACAGCAAATTTACTCTTGAGTGGGCCTCCGACAGGCAATGGCACAATGATGACGATATTGCCATCCCTTGACCTGTCACAGTCAACTTGACTGCTTTGAATTGAAACATTTAGCAGTCAACTGCTCCCTGGTGCATTTTCCATGAGCACCCTCCATCAGGTATTTGCCAACCAGTCCAGCGCTCTCTTCCCGTGCAGTGTAAATTGTCATTCACTTTGGGATCTGGTATTCTTGCAACTCTGTCCCGACAAGTGCAAGATGAACATTTTTGACAGGAAACCTCTTTATTTTCAGCGATGCTTATGTTCTGCCCTACTGAACAATCATCGATACTCTGTTTTAGTGATGCTGGCCGAGGGATAGACGCGGAACCGAGACCGGAGGGGAAGAGAGACAAAGCCTGTGTGACTGTCAGATGTTCCCATGGCTGTGTAGTATGCCAGCGCATTCTCTGTATGCTCGAGCTGCGCAGAATGGCCTGGTGTGGATCGGTAAAGCTGGTGGAAGGCCTACACCCAGCATCTTCAAAAGGGCAGGGGAATTGGAAAAGGGTTGGGAGTCTGCAGTGGTTTTTTGTCTCTATTCATTCACAGGATGAGGGCATCGCTGACCAGGCAGCATTTATTGCCCATCCCTAATTGCCCAGAGAGCAGTTCAGAGTCAACCACATTGCTGTGGGTCTGGAGCCACATGTAGGCCAGACCAGATAAGGATGGCAGTTTCCTTCCTTAAAGGACATTAGTGAACCAGATGGGCTTATCTTGACAATCGACAATGGGTTCGTGGTCATCATTAGGTTCTTAATTCCAGATATTTTATTGAATTCAAATCTGCCATGGTGGGATTTGAACCCAGGTCCCCAGAATGTTATCTGGGTCTCTGGATTAACAGTCCAGCAATAATACCACTAGGTCATAGCCTCCCGGCTGTGGGGTGGCGGTAGGGAAATAGTTGGAAACACCGACCACAAAGGCTGGGCCATGGGAAGGGTCCGCGTTGATGCCAGTCAAAGGCCAAGGGGTGATTGGCCCGTGGCTGGCATGAGCAGACTCTGCTCCCGGCCAATTAGTTGAGGTTCCCACCTTGCTCGAAACCACCTCCCCCACTGTCGTTCCAGTGCATTACTGCCCTTAATCCTTCACAGAGGCCGTGTGGGTCGCTGGGCAGGCCTGCTTTTATTGCGCATCCCCGATTGCCCGTGAATTCGGTAACTCAGAGAGAAGTTACGAGCGAAATTCGGCAGATTTCCTTCCCTAAAGAGCAGCGGTGATCCTGATGGATTTTTACGCCAAACAGTGGCCGTCGTCATGGTTCCCGTGACTGAGACTCCCGTTAGTTTCAGCCTTATCACACAAGTTGGATTTGAACCTGGAGCCTCTGGATTTCTAGCCCGGTAACATTACTGCTGTTGCATCCTCTGCTGATACTGTGGCCCCACGTCGAGCTGTCCTTCTGCAGTGTTTTAATAGTTTGGAGAAGTTGTGGTTTGGATCTTAATAACTGCACATTGTAACTTGCGATTGGCTCAAGTGGCCATAGCCTGCAGCGTTTGAACGGAGGTTGCCTGAGTGTGGGAGTGTGGTTTACTGTTGCTGGTGCTGAGCAGCTTGCAGGCAGCATTGTTTAAGGTCCGACCCCCACACACTCTGTTTTTCCTCCTCCTGTCACCCTGTTTGTATGTGCACTGACCCCCTGTGGTTTCTTCGAATGCACTCCGACTGGAGTATTCAGGATGTTCTCTGTTCCAATCACACGCTATTTTTGTCACCTGCTGTATTTTACACATAAGAAAAAGCCCCTTGAGCTGTGCCCATGACAGCCCATGGGAAGAAAAAGCTGTAATTGTTATGTGTGCAGGAATGTGTGAGAAGAAATGGACTTTGCAGCGACTGAATAAAGCCTCTCTTCCTGAGCTGGGTTGCTGTGTGTAAGGCAGGTGATTTCAACATGTTTGCACGCCAGTTGGGCCACAGCTAGCGATGCCCCTGCAGCTCTGACAACGTTTGAGAAGCTCAAAAGCAGCTCTCCTGACTGGTACCCCTAGACACCACCAACGACATTCACCTCCAAGCTGCACCTCAACGACTCACCAAGGCTCCTTCGACTCCAATTTCTGAAGCTGCAGCCACTTCCACCTAGAAGCACAAGGGAGTCAAATGTAGGAACGGGGAAATATATCGCCGTCACTTCAGTGTGGCTAGGTCTTAACTCCCTCCCGAATGGGTTTGTGAGTGTACGTACAGCATGGTGGTTCAAGGAGGCAGCACACCACCCCCTCCTCAAGGGCAGTCAGGGATAGATAATAAATGACAATCCGTAAACACTGTCCCCCTGAGCCAACATGGCATGGAAACTTGAGTGGATGTCAATGCAGTGCACTTGGAGAGCTACACTGTCTGAGGTACTGTCACTCAGACCGTAAACTAAAGCCTGTGTTTGCCCTCTTAGATCAACGTAAATTATCCCATGGCATTATTTAGGAGAAGAGAAGGGAACGCCTCTTGATTCCACATTCGACAGCACTTTTTAAAAAAAAGCGTGATTATCATCACGTTACCGTTTGTGCCAGCTTTCTGCATACGGTCGGTCGGACTGCGAGCTTTCCTACTTTACGGCTGTGGCTAACCTTTGAAATTGCGACTTGTATACACAGCAGTCTCGGGTGGGCTTGGTGAGAATGTGGGCTTTTTTGCAGTCCCAGAGGTGTTGCACACCTTTCCATGGGTCACGTCCCTGCCTCAGATGTAATCCAGGCCAGTGCCCCCTGTACTGTTTCAGACTGAAAATAAGGCTTCCTCTAGCAACTCCTGAACCCAAAACTAAAGCTTCCTCTGTTCTTTTAAACTGAAAGTAAAGCTCCCTCGCTACCGTCTCTGTCAAACACTCCAAGCACAGGTACAGCATGGGAATACATACTGACTAAAGTGCTCTATACTCCTTTAGACTGAAAGTAAAACTTCCATTACACTGTCCTCATCAGACACCCCCAACAGAGGGACAGCACCGGGTTAGAGACAGTAAATCTCCCTCTGAACTGTTCTAGGATCCATTTATACGTGAAGAGATTGCATTGAATTTAGTATTTTATGCTGGTTTGTGATTGAAAATGCAATTCACGCAAGTTTGCTGAATGACTTCAGGTGTTGGTAAAGAGACTGGGAAGTGCGTGTGTGGAGGCTCTGGTTAGCGTGCAGACATTTCACTGTTAAATTGGTTTTAATGTGGTGAGGTGAATCACTTCCCCTCTAAAACCTGGCACGTGATGCAAGCAGTTAACCGTTAAGAAAGCAAGAGGGAAGTTTCCATTTATAGTGTGTCTGCAGAGCATTCTGCCAACACTGTGGGTGGCGTGTGTCTCCAGGAATCTCATGCCATCTTTCTGGTGTCTGCAACCATGGTTTATGTCCTATTTAAACAACTGTGTTCAGTAATCACTGTTTTATAATGTGTGTGTGTGTGTAATAAGCTGTGTGCAGGGGATTTGGGGAGTGGGGGGAAATGAGGTGCGACAGACTGTACTGGGGCGGGGGGATGGGAAACAGGCTGCAATAGTGACAGACTATGTGTGGGGCCGAGGGAGAGAGAACGGGCTGCTTCACAACACTGTCGCAGGGGTCAACCCCCTCTGAATAACAAAAACTGAGACACTGTTATAAAGTGGAAGTTAAATGAAATGATGCTCTCACTATAATCAACAAGTAACAATTTATTTATTTATTTATCTAACAGTGAGCAAATTAACAACAAATGAACAAACTAAACAATTCCCCCTCTTAATTACTAACTATTCCCAAATAAAACAAAATTCTAATGGTATGCTGTTCCAATAAATACAAGTCCCACTGATATAAACCAAATTAAATTCAAGAAACTTAGTCTCTCAAAACTACAGCCAGGATACATCTTCCGGAATGTTCACTGCCTTCTCCGCTGTTCTTCAGTCAGGAATGCCTTTCACCATCAGATTCTTCTGTCAGGAATATTAGCTAAGAATGCTGCTGGATCTTTAGTCAGGTGACGGTTTTCAGAGCACTTAGAGCATTCTGTGAGAATCAGTGATTTTCTCTTTAGGGCTGCCGATTGTTAACTCTAACAGATGGCAGTTGCTCTCCCACCACTTTTTGAATGCTTTATTCTTTTATAGCCTTGATGACTTATCAATTTCTTCCATTAGGATTGGTCCTAGGTTGTCAAAACCATAGATTTAAATTTAATTGGTTTTGAGCTTTTAAGTGCCTGTCACTTAAAGTTCAAATTAATTGGCTGATTTTCAATCTCCTTAGCAAGAAAACAAACCACTGCCTGGGTTGTTAACCATACAGCCTTCTGATATGATGTTTCAATTTCAGGAGCTCTCTGTGCACCTGCCCATTTCTTTCCATCTCCAAACCTAGAAAAAAAATGTCATTTTTTTTTTTTTTAAGATGGGCGACGCACTTTTCCCCCTTATCATTTTACAGACATCAAATACTCGACCTGACTTCCCAACAACAGTGACAATCTGTGTGCGGGGGACAGTGTGTAATAGTGACAGAATCCGTACGGGATATGGGCTGTGAGTAATGATGCCCAGTTTGTGTATGTGTGTAGACTGCTGGTCTGGGTTTTTTCCTGCAGCGAAGGCGGGTTGACATGTTCTTGCACATCTCTCCCCTCACTTTAAAAGTTGATACCATTTTTCTTGGCCACGCAGATTGCGGGAGTCCTGACAGCTCTTCGGTCAATTCCCCACAACGGCGGCGAACAATGAACAGCTCTCCACCCCTCCATTCCTCTGTCGTCGGGCCAGGCGTCTCGTCTTCGGTTAGTTCTCCCGTCAGCAGCGTTGGCGCGCACTTCTCAGTCATCAGCTCTTCCTTGAGCTCCACTTCAACACCGTCCCTGGGCTATCGGCCTGTGAACAGCCCACAGGTAAGTAGGAAGAGTATCCTCTGTCTCCCTGCAACCCTGCTTGGCATTGGGAAGGTGGAAAGCTGGCTAAGCCAGGAGCATGGAGGGACATGACCCAGTGATTTCTGGGTTGTGGTGGATGGAGCTATAGGAAGGATGTTACAGGGAATGGAGGGTTTGAGGTATAAAGGAGAGGCTGGATAGACTGGGATTTCTTTCCCTGGAGCATTAGGGGATGATCTTTACAGAGGTTTATAAAATCATGAGCAGCATAGATAAGGTGAATAGCCGAGATCTTTTCCCCAGGATAGGGGAGTTTAAAACAAGAGGGTGCAGGTTTTAGGTGAGAGGGGAAAGATTTAAAAGGGACCTGAGGGACAACCTTTTCACACAGAGGGTGGTTCGTATGTGGAATGAACTGCCAGAGCAAGTGGTGGATACAGGTACAGTTACAACAGTTAAAAACATTTGGACAGAATTGGGAAGGTTTTAGAGGGTTATGGGCCAAACACAGGCAGGTGGGACCAGTTTAGTTTGGGAAACCTGGTTGGTGTGGGCAAATTAGGTCGAAGGGTCTGTTTCCGTGCTGTATGACTGAGTCGAGGAGCAGAGCAGGTAAGGTCTGACATTGGTATAAACAGTGCTTTAATGGGACAGAACTTGATCATTGCTGGAAGACAGATATGCTGCTAAAGTTTGTCATCTCCCTTCATCAGGATCCACGCAAAAATGCCAAATTTTAAATGGTCACAACAATTTAAACTGCAGGGCAATTTAAACCACAGGAGCAAAGGGGTGCCGATTACCGAAAGGCCTGTCAAATGCATGGACCTGTTCTCTGCAAACAAAAGGGATATCTTCCCATATTTTGCCAAATTACCTTGTAGATTGGGGGTCCCCTCCCCCATTGCTCCATCCATGGCGATGCCTTGTCTGATCAGATCGGACTTGCCAAGAAATGAACATCCTGTTCTCCATGCATCCCCCCAGCTATATCCCTGTCCAGGTCCATCGCTGAAATAAATCATCTAACCCCCAGCAGAGTTTTAGACCACTCTGTCCAGACTGGAGAGTAATGGCAATGTTTGTTCCTTTCGTTTTCAGATAAACTCCACAGTCAGCATGTCAAGTTTCCACACCGTCAGCAGTTCTGATGACGTTCAGTCATCGCTGGGCACGAACCAGGCTGTTTCTTACCCAGCTGGCTCTGCCACCTTGTCACTGAGGCGCATCTGTGCCATTTGTGGAGACCGGTCTTCAGGTAAAGCATGCATGGAGATTTGGCTGGTTTAAATAGAATGTTAGTAACAGGGAGAGGTTCAAAACTGGATTGAGGGTGTTACCTGTGCTGTTGTAAATACTGGGGTGAACAGCAACTGCCTCGCTTGTTGAAGACGCTTTTGTTTCTGGACTCTGCTGCATTCAATCATCTCTTTGAAGTATGCTCAGATAGTAGAATTAAATCTCGAAATCCCATCAGTCAGCCTGGGTTTTTACTCCTGTTGTCTTCTGAGAAGTGCATGCATGTGTCAGTGTTGTGTGGCTTCCTGACTTTGCTTGTCTGTCTCCCCCACCGCATGCTCTTGCGCTCGGTCCCTCTGGATCTAATGTGGGAATGTTTTTGATGTTACTGTGTGTGTCAGAATCTTTGTTAGATTACAAGTGAGATTGACGCACTTCCCTGTTTTCCTGTGAATGAATTTCTCTGAAGAGCTGTGGGTTACAACAGTGGTGTAGTGATGGTGTCAGGGAGCCCTGGCAATACCAGTTGGAGTCAATGTGAATGGGGGAGAACTCTTGCCATTTGGAGTCCTGCCTGGCACATAGGAGGACGGTTGTTGGGGTTTGATCATCACAGTCTGAGGACATCTCTGCAGCAGTTCCTCAGGGTGATGCCTTCGGGCAAACCATCTTCAGCTACTTCAGTATGTTTGCTGGTGATTGCACAATGTTCAGCACCATTCACAACTCTTCGGGCACTGAAGCAACCCATGTCCAAATGACCAGGTTTTTGTTGATGCATGTCAGAGGCTGGGAACTGACTAGAAGGGAACACACCACCTGACTCCCCAAAGCCTGTCCACCATCTGCAAGGCATAAGTCAGGAGTGTGATGGAGTATCCTCCATTTGCAAAGTTGGTACAGTACTTATGGATTGGAAGGCAGGACGTCAGGATTTGTTTGTAAAATGATAGGGGAGAAGAGTGCATGGTCCCTTTTAAAAGGTGTGTTTTTTAGGCTTGGAGATTTAAAAAAAAAAGTTTGCAGGCAGCAGCAGATGTACAGAGAGTTCTTGAAATTGAAATTGTGTATCAAAAGGCTATATTGTTAGCAGGCAAAGCAGCATTTTTAACAACAGGTTTTTGAATTTAGCCAATTAATTTAAACCAGGTCCTAGATACCAAAGCCCAATTAAATTTTAAGCTGATGGTTTTGACAAGTTTAGGCCACTTCACTTGTAAGAAATTATTAGGTCATCAAGGGTATAAAAGAAGAGGACATTTGAAAATCAGGGTGAGAGCAAACTGCCATCTGTTAAGAGAACAGCCTTAACAGCCATCAGCTCTTTTTTAAAAAAAGAGAAAATTCACTGGCTTTCACAGAAATCTCTAAGATCTGAGTAAGATCTCATCTAAATAAAGGTAGTATGGCACTTTTAGCTTGTACTCCTGGCACAGGAATTTGACACAGGAAGGCATTCGTACTGAAGGATAACTGAGAAGGCAAAGAATATTCTGGGAGATTTCTTCTGTCAGTGATTTAGAGGGATTAAACTTTAATTTTTATTAGTTTGTTTTATATAAGTGGGACTTGTATGTATTGGAATAGCATACCATTAGAGTTTTATTTTATTAAGGAAGAATAGTTGGTGGTGAATTGTTCGATTTGTTAGAAGTTCTGTTAATTTGTTACCTGTTAGAGTTAGATAAATAAATTGTTACTTGTTGATTATAGAGTGA